CGTCTGCGTGTGGTCTCCGAATACACGTGCTCCTCTTTCTGCCTCTCAATGTAGCTCGAAGGACGCATTGTCTGCGTGTGGGTCTACTGTATGCAACCCTATGCACAGAGAATGCCGTGGCGTTGTGGGTTAGCGCTCTACGAACCCGCTCACGAACAATAACAGTGACGCATATTTGGATGGGTACTGGACCAATCCCTTAGATCAACTCAACCTGAAGCGAGTGCTGGTGCGGTGTGTTGCCCATGCACATCATCGTGGAGACAAAGGCGGCCGTTCGTGGTGCTTGGCCGAACACCAACCCCCTCGCGTGCCATGCCGGTGCTCACCGACAGCACTTGGCCCAGCAATCTACTTAGACTACACGGGTGGGTGGGGAGGTCGTTGTCTTTGCGTGTACTGGAGATACAATGTCTCGCCGGCGTGAATCGCCTTCATTTCAAACCACCGGAATGGAAATGAAAGGCGCCGCCGCCGCTGCCGCCGCCGATGAGCCGACACTGGCACGAGAAGCACGTCTTGCGGGAGAGACGCGAAGAACGCGCAGCGTAAGCGGCCCCCCTGGGGGCTCGGGGCTCGGCGCGAAGGTCCCTGATCGCCGCCGGCCGAGTGCGCTGCCTTCGTCCTGTTTGCTGTACGCCACTCTGACTGCCGGAGCTTGGCTTATTACGCAAAAGGTTTGCGAAGTGATGAGCGAAGCGGTTTTTGTTGTTGTTGTCGTTGTTTTATTATGAACATGCTGTAAGTATATTTTTTACGTAACAATACACGGACAAAATTAATTCCTCATTCATTGGATGTGTGCCGTGCAGAAGGGCCATTGCCTGAAACGTCGCGCCTGCTATCATCATTTTAATGGGCGCGCGGTGTTGTTGACATAGCGAGATGCAGCGCAGTACGAAAGTTGGCCAAGACACGTTGGTGACAATCACACGTTTGTGCTCAAATTGTGCAAGCAAAGCAATCAATCGCTCGCCCAAAGGCCGACTGGGATGCGACAGGCGCTGGTCGTCTGACGAGAAAAGCCGCGCGATGCCCGCGCCGTGCTGCTGTCCGCGTCTTGCGGCGCCCCCCCCCCCCCGCGTCTCCGTGGAGTCTGTCAGTCAGCGATGGCTGCGTCATGGGCAGGGAAGGGCCCTGGGAGGGACAATGGCTCCAACCGCGATTCAACGTTGCAATCCGCCCCGCTCCGCCTCCTCCTCCTCCATCCCTCTTTCTCTCTCCTCTCTCTCTCCCACACAACCGCGGAGACGCAGCTCAATTACGCTTCGCCACAAACACCACACCACACCGAGCATGTTCGCCGCGTGCCAAATTGTCAGTCACCCGATGTGTTTACAAATGTCGGCCCCTCAAATACGGATTTGGTCAAATTAAGCATCGCACGTCGTCCGCGGTGACCGGGCTCGAACCGCGACCCGATGTCATCACCACGGGTGGCGGAGAACCCGGATTCGAGTTCTGGCTCTGAGCACCACTGGCTCAGTGCCAGATCCACACCCATTACCACGGCTACCAGTCGAGAAACCAAAATATCCACCGTCGTCATAAGCCCTGATCTATCCACTGCTAGATTCAGACTTCTGATGAGACACTGTTTTGTTAGATGGTCAATCATCTCATCCAAATGTCACCTTTAAGTTTGAGAAATTCTGCAGAGTTTTCAAAAAAACTGCGCTGAGGTTTGACAAGTGTCGTGGTCTTGGCGAGTGAGTAAAGCTCCCCGTGGCTGTCTTCTCGCCTCTAATCCGTGACTCTGCTCTCGGCTCTAATCGGACCGTAAAGGACCCCAGCGGAGTGGCGGGGAGCCCCGCTGGTGTTGCTAGGGGTGTCCGTGGAGAGGGAGGTGGAGCGAGAAGCTTCAGTGTGGACAGCAGGAAGGGGATTAGAACTCTCAGAAGTTATATAAAAAAGAAGAAACAATCAAACATTCTAAATAAAATCGGCTTCAAACAAATGGCATCCGAAAGACAATTCGGCGTTTGTTTCATGTAAAGTCACTCCTGGATGAAGCCCCCCCCCCCCCCCCCCCCCCACATCTTATCATCGAATGACTTACTTGACCATAGTTCACCACGCTGGTTCAATTTCGATTTAAAGCTTTAATTTTAGATTTAAAGCTTTAATTTTAGATTTAAAGCTTTCGTGACTGCAGGGAATCATCTTCTTGGTTCTTTCGGTAAAGTCACGTAGAAGGGAAGTAATAAAATAATAAAAATATAAAACATAATAAAATAAAATAATTCTCACGACGTTTCGGCTACAACGCAAGCAGCCGTCTTCAGTGTAGGTGGGCGAAGGGCGCGACTCGTTGAGATGTCACGCGCCGTTGACGTTAGCCATGGCTGGGAATCGAACTCAGGCGACCGGGTTCATCGCACGGTGCGCAAATCACTGCCTCACTTGCTCCAAACCTATAACATCAACATGATAACGTCTCATAAATAAGATTGAAGAAAAAACACACAGGAGGTGATAATATATTTGTTTTACTTTCAATTCACATGAGAAACGCGACTTCCAAAACTCGTCGTCAAATCCAAGCCCGACACCACCCAGCAGCTTTGTTTCAAAAATTCATTAATCAATCTTATTTTCTTATTTTTCATACTTTGATACTGGCATAAAGGTCCCATGATACAGATCTGTATCGTTCCGCAGAGTGCTGATATATTTATGCCACTCATTCGCTGCGTTTCTTTAAATAGTTGATCTACAGTCATCCTCCACTGTCATTGTGTTCCGTGTCAATTAGTAAGAAGCCTGTCCCCAGATCAGGTGCGTCTTTTTCTCTGTGTGTAAACTGTGTGGGTTGTGGGGAGTGGTGGCGCCGTAGTTAGCGCACTGCTCTGCGAACCGAGCCACGGATAACACAACACAACCTTGCTCACAGCCTTTGCCGCAACAGTCTTGCAAACTCTACCCTAGAGCTGTCTGTGTGTGTGTGTCTGCGTGAGCATCTAAACGTATCCCTGTGTGTATGTCTTTCGATACGAATGCGTGCCTGTGTGAGTGTTCCGGCGTGGTGCTGGTCATCCACCCCCTCGTCTGTCGTGCCGGCCTTCGTCGGTGTTTGCTCACAGCACTTTCCCCAACAGTCTGTTGAGGCTATACGGGAGATCTTTGTCTTGTGTGAGTGTGTATCCGTGTGACCGACCTCAGCGGCTACAACAACACCCTCTGAGTCATGCGATTCACGTCTTTAATCAAGACGTGGTTGTCATCATCTATAATTGGTCATTCGCAACACATGTTAAACACCCATGGATTATACCCATATATTATACCCATGTATACTAGCTATGTTTAACACCCATGTAAACTACATGTGTTTAACACACATGTACACTACATGTGTTTAACACCCACGTACACTACATGTGTTTAACACACATGTACACTACATGTGTTTAACACCCATGTACACTACATGTGTTGAACACACATGTACACTACATGTGTTTAACACCCATGTACACTACATGTGTTTAACACCCATGTACACTACATGTGTTTAACACACATGTACACTACATGTGTTTAACACACACGTACACTACATGTGTTTAACACCCACGTACACTACATGTGTTTAACACCCATGTACACTACATGTGTTTAACACACATGTACACTACATGTGTTTAACACCCATGTACACTACATGTGTTGAACACACATGTACACTACATGTGTTTAACACCCATGTACACTACATGTGTTTAACACCCATGTACACTACATGTGTTTAACACACATGTACACTACATGTGTTTAACACCCATGTACACTACATGTGTTTAACACACATGTACACTACATGTGTTTAACACCCATGTACACTACATGTGTTGAACACACATGTACACTACATGTGTTTAACACCCATGTACACTACATGTGTTTAACACCCATGTACACTACATGTGTTTAACACACACGTACACTACATGTGTTTAACACCCATGTACACTACATGTGTTTAACACCCATGTACACTACATGTGTTTAACACACATGTACACTACATGTGTTTATATATCTCGCTGTATTAGCTCTTCGCGGTGTTTGGCTTTGCGATCCTCCGCGCCCCAAAATAGCCGCGCGTCACTCACGCGCGCGCCGCGGTGACGTCGGCGCGGCGCCGACTCCCCCGCCCCCCTCACCTGTGCCCTGCCCCTCACCTGTGCCCTGCCCCGCCCCCCTCACCCTCACCTGTGCCCTGCCCCTCACCTGTGCCCTGCCCCTCCCCCCTCACCTGTGCGCTGCTCCGCCCCCTCCCCCCTCACCTGTGCGCTGCACCTGCGCCGCCTCGGCGGGATGAAGGCGCGGAGACGACGCCGCGCCGGGGACAGTCGTCATCGCTCGCACTCTCGTCTCCGCTACCCACGACTGCAACAACAACAAAAACAACAACAACAAAAACAACGACAACAACGACGACTGACTGGCTGAGAGTTCTTGAATCAACCCCGGGGAGTCGGCGAGCAACTTCGCGGCGAGACCTCGCGGGCGTTGTACCGAGGTAGGGGGTGGGGGTCCCGCCGAGTCCGTCTGGCACGCCACGTCCCGTCGCCTCCGACTCGCCGTTCTCCGCAGACGCGCGTCAGTGCGGCGTGCCGCCCAGACGTGACGATCGCGCGTGCTCGCGTGTGATAGCTCGTACATAGCCGTCGTCGTCGTCAACATGAGCCATGGTCTATCCACCGCTAGATGAAGACATACCTTACGCAGTCGCCATCGGTCAGGGTGCTGAGCTGAACGCACGGCACGTCGTTGAGCGTCCATTCCCGTGCTCGCGTTAGGGACACGTGTACCTCGAGTCGCCCACGTGTCTCTCGAGTCGCCCACGTGTTCGATGTTCAACGCCAACAGCTGATGTGTCGCTCTCGGCTCAACTGAACATTGATTTCATTGAAAGGAAGATTCGGAACGAAAGTTTAGAGGAGGAGGAGTTAAGGGTGAGTTTGGGGGGTGAGGGGTGGGTGGCATCATCACCATTAACAACATCATCGTCATCATCCCACTCACATCACCGCCGGTATCAACATCCGTGCGCACAGCTATGGACGCATCTTGAGGAGGAGGAGGAAGAAGGGAGACGACGAGGTGAGAGGAGGTGGATGTGGATGAGAAGGCATTGCTAGCCGGCAGCGCGGAATAATCCCAAGGCGGAACTCAAAGTTCTCCCCGATCTCGTCAGCTCGGAATCTCAGGAGCTCACCCCAGGACCCACCTCACCGCCCGGAACCTCGGGAGCTCCGCCGGCGATGGGCGACCAGGTAGACCTGGCGACCCTCTTCCGGAAGTGCGACGTGCGCGGCACGGGCCGCCTCGAGTACGAGGACTTCAAGCGCCTGTGCCGGGACCTCGGCGTCGAGTCGCACGAGGTGCCCGCGCTCTTCCAGTCTCTCGACAGCGACCGCGACGGCGCCATCAGCTACGGCGACTTCGAGGACGGCTTCAGGAACGTGTCCGAGGGCTCGGACGAGACCGGCCGCGCGGCGTCGCTCCGGCGGCTATCGTCCGTGTCCTACTCCAACTTCTCCACGACTTCCTCCACGTCCCCCTTCGCCTCGTCCCCCGCGGGGCGACTCGCGTCCCTGCCGCCGGTCGCCGCCTCGTCTCCCGTCAAGTCGCCGCTGCGTCGCAAGCGGTCGTGGCGGGATTTCGAGGATCAGTGCGGGGAGAATGTCCGCTACCTGCCCAAGTGAGTGGCTCGTGGGGTCATTGTGTTGTTGGGTCGTGGGGTCATTGTGTTCTTGGGTTGTGGTGTCATTGTGTTGTTGGTTCATTGTGTTGTTGGGTCGTGGGGTCATTGTGTTTATTGTGTCATTGGATGGTGGGGTCATGTGACGCTATAGGGATGTGGTCGTCCTTGTAAGAGAGCTGCTAATCTCAATGGGCTTCATCAGCTGCAATAATACAGCCCCGAGTCTGGTTGTGGGGTCGTGGTGGGGGGTATGGGGATGGTGGCTGACCGAGAGGGGTCAGTGAGTGATGAACAGCAGGCGACAGCTCGCGTCTTTCCTCTCTCTCCGCCGAGTGTTGCCCACTTTTTGCGTCGAACTCGGACCCAGAGAGGCGGGGATCCTTGCCTCGATTGTCACCTGGCAGCTCGCCAGCGTTGCTTGGAAAGCAAACCTGGCTCTGCCGATGAGGCACTGAATGTCGAAACCGGTTAAAGAGTTGTACTTGTAGGAAAGCAATGCTGATGAAATAATTATTTTTTGAAAGCCCCGCCCACCTCCACGTACTCCCCCCCCCCCCCCGCGAAGCTGGAATCCGCGATGGCAGGGGGAGAGGCAGTTTATGGGCTCGATGGTCTCGATGAGAATGCCGATGGTGGTTATACATTAACCACGTGGGTTGTATTCCCTTATCAGCAGGAAGTCAATTGCCATAGTCTACGGCGTCAGTAGCAGTAGAAGCAGCAGCATGAGCGTTATAAGAAGCATTGGCCTCATCATCATCATCAGCAGCAACGATAGAACATCGTCATCAGCAGTAGCGCAATCCAGTCATCAACAAGGGCAATAATGATATCATGATCAGTAGCTGCGGGGATCAATAGCAGGGAGCATCATCGCCATCATAATCAGCAGCATGCGTGCTATCAATTATCAGTGGCAGCAGCAGCAAGCACATCATCGTCATCATCTTTACACGCAGCCCCCTCTTCCTTCAGACAGCGGTGGCCTCGCACAAACCACAGCCACCGCAAGCCGCACGCTGCCAGTCACAGCCAAGCCGCACGCCGTTACCAATCACAGCCAGATGAGCAGGAAGACTACGACCACCAGTTACACCCGCCGGGATATGGAGCATCATGGTCCCGGACACGGAATGGTCTCGGCTCGCTAGTCGTGACGTCGCGGGTCTTTAAAGTCCCAGCAGGTGGCTTGATTTAGGGCATCGGGAATTAAAACACCTTGGCACATTAGCGAATAACACCGGCGGTGGCTTTCGAGTGAAAATTATACGATAGGCGCTTTATAGCTCATCGGATTCCCCCAGTCCAGGTGAACGTTCTGATTTACAGCACGTAGAGAGAGGCCAGAGAGAGCTGCTGTCTCCGTGACGAAGTGGGCCGTTCCTTCCTTGTTTTCGCCTTGAGAGGTCACAGGAGTGCTGTTGTTGACACGGAGCGAGTTGAGTTTTTTTTGCTTTGTAGATTTGTCTTGTGCACCACTGCCAACGCAAGCAGCAGCATCAGCCTCGCCAAATAAATTTGGTTTAGCTATAATAAGTAATTCTATATGTAAATAAGTATTTTAACTTAAGGTAAATCCCCTAGACTCACGAATGCTAGTATTGACAGTTACAATCTGGGGTTGGATTTTTTTTACGTGTAGAGATTCATATATAAAGTTGACGTCTGCTCATCATTGTCACTGCCATGGGAACTTGGAATTTCCTCCACTGGTCCACGTTTAGAGCAGACAATGGCGTAGTTTGTTGTGTTGTTTGTGGTTGTTATCGTGGTGAATTGTAAACGAACGGGCCTCGTGAGCATCGCCATCGCAGTCGCCACGTTCCCCGGGAGCCGTGGGGGCTCCGGGAACTCGTAATCGATGGGTGACGTCACGAACCCCACACTCCACTGACCCCCCCCCCCCGCGCGCTCCGTGATTCACGACTCCACCGCCAAATTCCGCGCGGTGACTCTCAAGCTCCAAACCGAGCCGCACCCCAACCTCGAGCCCTAACAGCAGCCCAACTTTAACCCTGGCGTGAGTCTGAGTCTAACCTGGCGTGAGTCTGACTCTAACCCTGGCGTGAGTCTGAGTCTAACCCTGGCGTGAGTCTGACTCTAACCCTGGCGTGAGTCTGAGTCTAACCTGGCGTGAGTCTGACTCTAACCCTGGCGTGAGTCTGAGTCTAACCCTGGCGTGAGTCTGACTCTAACCCTGGCGTGAGTCCGAGTCTAACCCTGGCGTAAGTCTGAGTCTAACCCTGGCGTGAGTCTGAGTCTAACCCCGGCGTGAGTCCGAGTCTAACCCTGGCGTAAGTCTGAGTCTAACCCCGGCGTGAGTCCGAGTCTAACCCTGGCGTGAGTCCGAGTCTAACCCTAGCGTGAGTCTGAGTCTAACCCCGGCGTGAGTCCGAGTCTAACCCTGGCGTAAGTCTGAGTCTAACCCCGGCGTGAGTCCGAGTCTAACCCTGGCGTGAGTCCGAGTCTAACCCTGGCGTGAGTCTGAGTCTAACCCTGGCGTGAGTCTGAGTCTAACCCTGGCGTGAGTCTGACTCTAACCCTGGCGTTAGTCTGAGTCTAACCTGGCGTGAGTCTGAGTCTAACCCTGGCGTGAGTCTGAGTCTAACCCTGGCGTGAGTCTGAGTCTAACCCTGGTGTGAGCCTGACTCTAACCCTGGCGTGAGTCTGAGTCTAACCCTGGCGTGAGTCTGAGTCTAACCCCGGCGTGAGTCTGAGTCTAACCCTGGCGTGAGTCTGAGTCTAACCCTGGCGTGAGTCTGACTCTAACCCTGGCGTGAGTCTGAGTCTAACCCTGGCGTGAATCTGAGTCGAACCCTGGCGGAAGCCTAACTCTAGCCCTGCCCCAACTTTTGACACTAGTTCTAAGCCTAACCCTAGCCGCATGACTAACCTTAGCCCTAACGCTAACCCTAACAGAATCAGAATATGTGTTTAGACTGGAGGGATCCGATGAGCTATTATACAGCTCCTTTGCACGGATGTCTGGCCGGGACAGGTCAGGACGTCACGATAACAAACAATAAACAAAAGCACAACTTGAGTGCAAAGGACAGGAATGGCAAACAAACAACAACTGACCCGAGCCTCACTAAATGACTCCTAAGCATAACTTTAACCCTAGCACGGAGCCTAACCCGAGACCCAAGCCTAACTTTAAACCTAACCATAATTATAAGTGTAAACCTGGCCCAAAGCCTATTAGCTCCTAAACCTGTTCCTTCAGGCTAACTCTAACCCTAGCACGAAGCCATAACTCTGACCCTGTCCCCTAATCACTCTGAACCCCTCATTCACAATGTCCCATTGTGACTCTTAGTGACGTCACGGCAGACCCATCTATCCCCCCAAGAGCGCCGTGAGGAATTCTTACTGCGTCGTAAATCCTTAAAATTTACGACCCAATAATATACAGACGTGTGCGCCTGTTGATCTATTGCCTCGTGTGCGAGAGCACTCTGTGTGTGTCTGTGGGTTTACGTGTGTGTGAGAGAGAGCTGTGTGTGTGTCTGTGGTTTTACGTGTGTGTGAGAGTTAGACGTGTCTGTATATGTGTACGTGTTGCGCGTCTGTATCGGCAGCGTGGGGAATACGGGTGATGAATTTAACTGAGCCACTTCACGCTCAACACGTTGGTCATGCCCTGTGCCAACCAGCCTGCTCCGCTTCCTCGTGCGACGCATCTGTGACCGATGAAATGTACATCCTGCGCGAGGTCAACCATTCACATTCAAACTCACGGTTGTGAGCCTTCGCAAAGAAGCACGTGGAAATTACACATTCCCATGACGGGGTGGTGGTGTGCGTGGTTGTGTGTGTTAACGGTGGTGGCATTGGCGGCCGTGGCCACGATGACCTCTTGACCTTGATCCTCTCCACAGCTCGTGGGTCCACGCCTCGGAGCTGCACTCGCAGCTCTCCCAGGTGGGGGATGAGAACCTGCAGCTGCTGTACGAGGGCGTCCTCTCCAACTTCCTCAGCGACATCAAGCGCCGCGTCACCGACAACGAGGATGTGAGCTACCAGCTCAAGCGGTGAGCCGCTCCCCCCACATCCTCCCTGCTCCCCTCTCGTTCCTGCTGCCCTCTTCTCTTCTCCTCCTGCCCTTATCCTCATGTCTTCCCTCTCCCCCCCCCCCCCACCCTCTCTGCTCCCTCTGTCTCTCCTCTACTCCCTGCTCCCACCCACATTCCCTCTCCCTGAAAAGGTCGGGTATCGTCGACCGATAAGCACCTGCAGCAGCGTTTGGCATAGGGAAGCAGCAGTGACCTCTCGGATCCTGACCGCAACCTCACTGGTCATCGCGGGGGGGGGGGGGGGGGGCAAGCGGTCGGCGTTTTCCCGGAGGACCTGGATGATGGGGCGGACTTCAGGCCTCCGAGCTCGGAGTGACCGGTTCGATTCCCGCGCGCAGGATCCAGGAGCAGAGCGCATTCCACCAGAACGAGATGGAGGCCGAGATGGAGGAGCGTGTGGCCACCACGGAGGCACGTGTCCGCAACGAGGTGAGACGCTCAACCATGCGCACTCCCACTCATCCGCACTCCCACTCAACCGCACTCCCACTCATCCGCACTCCCACTCAACCGCACTCCCACTCATCCGCACTCCCACTCATGCGCACTCCCACTCATCCGCACTCCCACTCATGCGCACTCCCACTCATCCGCACTCCCACTCATGCGCACTCCCACTCAACCGCACTCCCACTCATCCGCACTCCCACTCATGCGCACTTCCACTCATCCGCACTCCCACTCATGCGCACTCCCACTCAACCGCACTCCCACTCAACCGCACTCCCACTCATGCGCACTCCCACTCATGCGCACTCCCACTCATGCGCACTCCCACTCATCCGCACTCCCACTCATCCGCACTCCCACTCATCCGCACTCCCACTCAACCGCACTCCCACTCATCCGCACTCCCACTCAACCGCACTCCCACTCATCCGCACTCCCACTCATGCGCACTCCCACTCATCCGCACTCCCACTCATGCGCACTCCCACTCATCCGCACTCCCACTCATGCGCACTCCCACTCAACCGCACTCCCACTCATCCGCACTCCCACTCATGCGCACTTCCACTCATCCGCACTCCCACTCATGCGCACTCCCACTCAACCGCACTCCCACTCAACCGCACTCCCACTCATGCGCACTCCCACTCATGCGCAACCGCACTCCCACTCATCCGCACTCCCACTCATGCGCACTCCCACTCATCCGCACTCCCACTCATCCGCACTCCCACTCATCCGCACTCCCACTCATGCGCACTCCCACTCAACCGCACTCCCACTCATGCGCACTCCCACTCAACCGCACTCCCACTCATGCGCACTCCCACTCAACCGCACTCCCACTCAACCGCACTCCCACTCAACCGCACTCCCACTCAACCGCACTCCCACTCATGCGCACTCCCACTCAACCGCACTCCCACTCAACCGCACTCCCACTCATCCGCACTCCCACTCATCCGCACTTCCACTCATCCGCACTTCCACTCATCCGCACTTCCACTCATCCGCACTCCCACTCATCTGCACTCCCACTCAACCGCACTCCCACTCATCTGCACTCCCACTCAACCGCACTCCCACTCATCCGCACTCCCACTCAACCGCACTCCCACTCAACCGCACTCCCACTCATGCGCACTTCCACTCAACCGCACTCCCACTCAACCGCACTCCCACTCAACCGCACTCCCACTCAACCGCACTCCCACTCAACCGCACTCCCACTCAACCGCACTCCCACTCAACCGCACTCCCACTCAACCGCACTCCCACTCAACCGCACTCCCACTCATCCGCACTCCCACTCAACCGCACTCCCACTCATCCGCACTCCCACTCAACCGCACTCCCACTCATCCGCATCCCACTCAACCGCACTCCCACTCAACCGCACTCCCACTCAACCGCACTCCCACTCAACCGCACTCCCACTCACCGCACTCCCACTCAACCGCACTCCCACTCATCCGCACTCCCACTCATGCGCACTCCCACTCAATCCGCACTCCCACTCAATCCTGCACTCCCACTCAACCGCACTCCCACTCAATCCGCACTCCCACTCATCCGCACTCCCACTCAACCGCACTCCCACTCATCCGCACTCCCACTCATCCGCACTCCCACTCAACCGCACTCCCACTCATCCGCACTCCCACTCAATCCGCACTCCCACTCATCCGCACTCCCACTCATCCGCACTCCCACTCAATCCGCACTCCCACTCAACCGCACTCCCACTCAACCGCACTCCCACTCAACCGCACTCCCACTCATCCGCACTCCCACTCAACCGCACTCCCACTCATCCGCACTCCCACTCAACCGCACTCCCACTCAACCGCACTCCCACTCAACCGCACTCCCACTCAACCGCACTCCCACTCAACCGCACTCCCACTCAACCGCACTCCCACTCCACTCATGCGCACTTCCACTCATGCCGCACTCCCACTCAACCGCACTCCCACTCAACCGCACTCCCACTCAACCGCACTCCCACTCAACCGCACTCCCACTCAACCGCACTCCCACTCATCCGCACTCCCACTCATCTGCACTCCCACTCAACCGCACTCCCACTCATCCGCACTCCCACTCATCTGCACTCCCACTCAACCGCACTCCCACTCAACCGCACTCCCACTCAACCGCACTCCCACTCAACCGCACTCCCACTCATCCGCACTCCCACTCAACCGCACTCCCACTCATCCGCACTCCCACTCAACCACACTCCCACTCAACCGCACTCCCACTCAACCGCACTCCCACTCAACCGCACTCCCACTCAACCGCACTCCCACTCAACCGCACTCCCACTCATCCGCACTCCCACTCATGCGCACTTCCACTCATGCGCACTTCCACTCAACCGCACTCCCACTCAACCGCACTCCCACTCAACCGCACTCCCACTCAACCGCACTCCCACTCAACCGCACTCCCACTCAACCGCACTCCCACTCATCCGCACTCCCACTCAACCGCACTCCCACTCATCCGCACTCCCACTCATCCGCACTCCCACTCAACCGCACTCCCACTCATCCGCACTCCCACTCATCCGCACTCCCACTCATCCGCACTCCCACTCATCCGCACTCCCACTCATCCGCACTCCCACTCAACCGCACTCCCACTCATCCGCACTCCCACTCATCCGCACTCCCACTCATGCGCTCCGTTACTTTCACTGCGAAGACGCAGACGACGACCCCCGGTGCGGCCTGCGTAGGCGACTCGGCGAAGTCGCCTACGCAGCTCTCGTGCCAGGGCAGGCGCACTTTGAGGCCACGCACACGGACACGAAAATGTCCGTGTAGCCTTTTAACACATACACTCGCGTACACATTTACACGCAAAGACAAAGATCCCCTGGATAGCCTCTCGACAGGTAGTTGGGGCAAGTGCTGGTCGAGAGCACACAAGTGGTGGTGTGGCCAGAACCACAGTCGTCCACCTTTGTCTTCCCAGGGCTGATGTTTCTCTCACCACACCCGGCACTCATTTTAAAGCTGAGCTGATCTAAGGGATGCCAGGGCCTGGTTTATATCCCACTCGCCAATAACGTCAGCAGTAGCCGAGAATCGAACTCAGGTCGGCGGCTTCATAGGGTAGTGCACTATCCACTATGCCACCTCTCCACGCACACAGACACGCACACACACAGATGCCAATGCACGTGAACACATGCGGATCGGGCACGATATGTGGTTGAAGTGTTATTGAGGTGTGGTTCTTCTGCAATTCACGCATCGTTCGTGCTTGGCTTGGGGCGTGGTTGTGTGCAACTTCGGTGGCATGCCAGTGTGGTTTTAAGTATCGTTCAGTGCTTCTTGGAACATTCAGGTGTGGATCAGGTATGGTTCGTGTATGATTCAGGTAAAGTTCGGGAGTGGTTCCTGATACGTTCAGGCACTGTTCGTGTAATGTGCAAGTGAGAAGCCGCTCATGTTCAGGTGGTCTTCAGGTGGTCTTCAGGTGATGTTCAGGTGATGTTCAGGCTATCTTCAGGTAGTGCCCCCCTAACGGCGCCTCTGTGCACCCGGTGCAGGAGAAGGCGAGGACGGAGGCGCTGATCGCCGAGATGCGGAGGAGGCACGACGGCGAGGTGACGGAGCTGCAGGCGGCACTCGAGAGGGTCAACGAGGTGCGTGTGTGTGTGTACGTGTGGGAGTGTGTGTGTGTACGTGTGGGAGTGTGTGTGTCTGTGGGAGTGTGTGTCTGTGTGGGTGGTGTGTGTGGGAGTGTGTGTGTGTGCGTTTGTGAGTGCGTGTGTATGTGAGTGCGTGGGTGTCTGTGTAACAGTGCGTGTGTTGTGTGTCCGTGTGTGTGTGTGCACGTGTGCACATTTCTCTTGGCGTGTCTGTGAGCATGCGTGTGTGTGCTCGCTAACAGCACTTACCCTTACAGTCTGTTAAGGCTATATGGGGGATCTTTGTCTTTGTGTGTCCGTGTGCATCTGCGTGTTCGTGTGGGTCTGTGTGTGTACGCGTGTGCACATTTGTCTTGGCGTGTCTGTGAGCATGCGTGTGTGTGTGTGTACGTGTATACGCATGCACACACTCACGCGTGTTTGTGTCGGTCTCGTTCAGCTCCAGTCGGATAAGAAGGCGGTGAACAAACACGATGAGATCATCGAGCTGAAGATGAAGATCAACGAGATGACGATGGTGGGCGCACTCTGATCCGATCACCACAACTCTACCCTGGACACTCGCCACGACCCTGACACTCACCGCGGCTCCAACCGTAACTTCTACTCTGGCCCAACCCTCGTGTTGGCCTTATCGCTGACTCTTACCTTGACCTGAACTTTTACCCTTTTCATAAACCTTAGCCTAATCCTATTCCTTTCCTTGACTCAACGTTAATCCTTCCCCTAACTCTGAGTCTCGTAATCACCCTCCCCATGGCCCTTGACAAAGCAGCACTCGCGTTACCCACTCTGCAGGGATGATGAATGCCTTGGTTACCTTCCTGACCATTGCTCTACAATGACTCAAATCCTCATCCTTCTCGTCCTACTTTGCCACCTGCAGGAGAACCAGCAGATGAAGAGGAACCTCTTGGAGGCGCAGACGAACCTGACGGTGCTGCAGAGCGAGCTGGACACCGTGAAGACCGAGTCCACCTCCCAGCGGCTCAACCTGGAGAGGTGAGGTCCCCCAAGTCGATCGTCTGGGGTCAGGGGGTCAAACGGAGTGGGCTGCCATTGCTGATTGCAATGACGCGATGTCTGGGAGAGTCAACGCGGCATCCGAACGCGACAGCATCTCAACACGAATGTCCCTTGTGATGGCCTTTGGCTAACCATCAAACCATCCACAGATGACCATCCATGGCTAACCTTTTGGCTGACCATCTAACAAAAATGGTCACTGCATCGCGCTCTTTCAGTAGCACTTCTGCGGCCGTCTGGAACGCTCTTCCTTCCAACATTAAGAAGCCACTGGAGCTATGCTCTTTGAAATCATCATCGTCTAGAATAGAAACCATTTTTCTTTGGAACTACTTTTTGTGCTTAGCTCGTTGTCCGTCCCCCGCACCTCCGATTAGCATGGTTGGCTACGTACGGTGGGAAAGAGGTTCAAGTTCAGCGTACATCGTTCTCAAAGCATTCGATAATGAAGGTGGAACAAAAGAAACGACGCGCTGTCTCTCTCTCTCCGCCGAAGCCGTCGCGTCGTGGCGAGCAGCAGACTCCGACAATGAGCTCTGAATGTATTTCTGCTGCCATTGTGCACAAGAAGAGAAGAGCATTTCTCAGGCCATGTTTGTTATTCAAATAAAATGTAAAGAAGGAGGCTTTGCTGTCAGTGGCTGTACTAAGTCATGAAAAACAGGAACCCCATTAATCTCTCAATTCCCCAAAGAGGAGTCATCATCACTAAACTCAAAAATCAGCTGCAGTGTATGCACGTTAAGCGTTGTATCTCTCGCGAGTGTCAGGAGAATGGCCTGGAACGGTTTGCGCCGTTCGATGGGACGGATTAAAAGTCACTCAAACTCTCGCAAAAGTTCAGACGGGGACTGAGTGTTGCGTCATACCCCCGAGCATTCGGGTCGTCAAGAAATATCCAAGCGCATTGTCTGATAACACCAAACTGCTGCGTGTGTTTGTGTGCGAGCGAGCGAGCGAGTGGATTGTTGGACAGCTGTCTGACAACTCAGAGTGTATTGTTTGAGTGGATATTCTGAATACTCAGGGGATTTCTGTCTCCTGTGATTTTAATTCCCCCTAAAGTGTCCCCCTTGACCGACACACGCGGAGACACACGTGGGGGGGGGGGGGTAAGGGGGGGTAACAGGGGACACGCGGGGGGACACACGCGGGGACACACGGGGGGTGGGACAGGGGACACACGGGGGGGACACTGAGACGCGAGGCTACAGCACAGAGACACGACGGAGACTGAGCAGCAATGCGCCCCTCTGTGCTCTCGTAGAGCGCCTCGGGCGCTCGCTGCTGCCGCCTCCTCTGCCAGCGGCCGCTGTCACGAACGGGCGCGCTTTATTTATTTATATAACCTGTGACCGACAGAGGCCTCATTGTGATGGGGAGGGGTGGGGGAGAGCGAGGGCCGGGCTCCACGTGAGCAGCTCGGCAACCCTACACGCTGACGCGTCACCACGCAAGGCTGCGTGCGTGTGCGCTGGCATGTGTGTGCGTGTGTGCCTGTAAACGATTGTACGTGCATGGTGCTAGCCACCCCATCCTCCCCCACCCCCTCGTGCAGTGCCGACTTGCCTCGGTGCTCGCTGAAAGCACTTGCCCCTACAGTTTGTTAAGGCTATACGGGGGATCTTTGTCTTTGTCTTTGTAAACGATTGTACGTGCATGTTGCTAGCCATCCACTCCCCCAAACCCCCTCGTGCAGTGCCGACTTGCCTAGGTGCGCGCTAAAAGCACTTGCCGAAACAGCGTATGCATGCTACCTGGGGGATCTTTGATATTGTGTGCGAGTGTGTGAGTGTGAGTGCGCGCGTGCATGTGTACATGTGTCCGTAGTGTGGTGGGGAGCGGTAGTGTAACGGTTACTGCTATGCTTCACTACGAACCCCGGTGACCCAAGTTCGATTTCTGATCACGGCCAACACCAGCGACGATGATCTGAACCAGTCCCGGGCCTCCCCGAGGCCGACTCGGCCTCAAATGAGTACCTGGTGCGGTGTGTAAACATCGCCACTAGGGAGACAAAGGCGGCCGGGCGTCGTTGTGGCCACCCACCCCCTCGTGTGCCATGCCGGCCTTCATAAGTGCTCGCTAACTGCACTTGCCCCATGTGAAGGTTACACAGGGCATCTTTGTTCTAGTGTCGAGTTGAGGTTGTGTTCAGAGTAACTTAAACAATGACACCAGTGGTACAGACAATCCACGTCCACCGTCATCGTTAACTGTGCAGCTGATTAATCAGTGTAGTGTAACTATTACTGTATGAGTGAACAAAAACATCTCCCCTACCATGGATGGTTAATGAATGTCGCTTTGTCTCCATGCCCCCGTGTCTCCATGCCCCCGTGTTCAATGCCCCCCGTGTCTCCGTGCCCCCGTGTCTCCGTGCCCCCGTGTCTCCATGCCCCCGTGTCTCCGTGTCTCCATGCCCCCGTGTCTCCATGCCCCCGTGTCTCCGTGTCTCCATGCCCCCGTGTCTCCATGCCCCCGTGTCTCCATGCCCCCGTGTCTCCATGCCCCCGTGTCTCCATGCCCCCGTGTCTCCATGCCCCCGTGTCTCCATGTCCCCGTGTCTCCATGCCCCCGTGTCTCCATGTCCCCGTGTCTCCGTGTCTCCATGCCCCCGTGTCACCATGCCCCCGTGTCTCCATGTCCCTGTGTCTCCATGTCCCCGTGTCTCCATGCCCCCGTGTCTCCATGTCCCCGTGTCTCCGTGTCTCCATGCCCCCGTGTCACCATGCCCCCGTGTCTCCATGCCCCCGTGTCTCCATGCCCCCGTGTCTCCATGTCCCCGTGTCTCCATGTCCCTGTGTGCCTGTAGGGAGCAGGCTCTGATCCGGCAGCACGAGGAGGAGAGGCAGGAGCTGACGCGGCAGATCGATATGCTCAGGTATGACGCTACACACACCCACCCTGACGCAACACACACAGTTCTCCCGAGGTGAAAGGTAATAGGTCGTACATAGCTCATGATCGATACCGTAGACCTCTGCTTCCTTTCGGTCCGAATTTGGCCTTGACACTAGAAGATAAACACATTACCCACGTGACTTGGGTGACTGACAGACGCACTCGCAAATGGACAGATGGAAGGAGTTCCTTCGAGTGTGAACAGCCTTGAGTACGTTGCAACACTGTATTGTTCACACGTTAACGTTCAAACGTGTGCGTGCGTGTGTGTGCTCAGGGCGTGGGAAAGGTGGCGCAATGATTCGCGTACAGCCCTTTGATCTCAGCAACCTGGGTTTGATCCCTCACCACGGCCCAACATGAGTGGCGAGAGTTCAAGTTTATTTGATTTGTCACACGGATGATGATGACGATGGTCCGGTGCAGCCGGTTGCCCCTGACGATTGTACACGCAAGGTCCGTGGTGCTGCATTAGGCACAGCAGCAGCACCAACGACAATGACAACAAAGACAACAACTTGCAGAGAACGAGCATCAGGGTCCTTCGGGAATATTACACAACATTTAGTGATATCTGAACCATTCCTTGGCCTTCCCCTAGGACGACTCGGCCTTAAATAAGCACCTGGTGCAATGTGTAAACATTGGCATTGGACCACCAACCCCCTTTTCCCCCCACCCTCTTCCACCTTGCCAGACTTTAATAGGTGCTCGCGAACAGCACTTGCCCCAACATCCTGCGCAGACTACTCGGGTGACCTTTACCTTTGGCTTTGTGCACAGGTCAGCGCACCGCAAGATGAACGACAGCAACGACGGTCTGCGGGCGGTGCTGGAGAACTCGATGAGCCAAGCTCGCGCCAACGGAAGTCCCGTGAGTGACGTGCCGGTGACATCAACGCCACTTGTCCATCGACTAATGCGCTAACATGCGTGTCGGTTAACACGCGTGTCAGTCGAACAAGTCGCAAGCGTACGTAGCGGTCGGTGATGCGGCGAGAGACGAGCGTGGAACGGCTCGCTGCTGTCAGTCTCTGTCACTCAAGTCTTAGACAAGGGGACCACAATGCAATTCTTCTTCAGGAAATGCTGGTGGTTCTCTTCCATGACACACGGAGGGCGGAGGTTCTATTTGGCGCGTGTTTGTATCTAGGACATTTTTTGCGGCCCGTGCCGTTTTTCTGTCACGACGACGCGATTGTCCCGTCATTCACGGATTTGATCGTTACTCAAACGTGCCCAGATAGAACAATATTACTCGCCAATTACTCAAGCGGGACTGCGAACGTGCCGTTAACTAAATACGTCGTATTGCACGCGGCTGGGTGAACGTCAACGCGTGAAGGCGGCTCGGGTCGGCTGTGTGGTGGGTCGTGGTGGGTCGTGGTGGGTCGTGGTGGGTCGTGGTGGGTCGTGGTGGGTCGTGGTGGGTCGTGGTGGGTCGTGGTGGGTCCCTCGGTGCCGCCAGGGCTCCCCTCCCCATGTGGGGCCGTGGTCCGGCCCTCGTCCGGTCCGCGTTTTCTCTCTCGACTCCGCGAGTGTCCGGCTCGGTTTCTGAGCAAACGTGGCAGTGGGGGGCTTTCTGGAATTAACGCACGCGTCGCGAATTGGAATGGTGGAACAAATTAATTACGAATTCGTTATGTCTGCAATTTAAGCATGATGATAATGATGGAGTATTGTGATGATGATGTTAATGATGGTGTCCACAATAATGATGAGGTTGATGATGATTCTATACATGATGATGATGTCGATGTCAGTGAGCACAGTGATGACGGCGACGATGATGATGTTGACAATGATGACGATGTTGTCACCAGAGATCTCAGAGCCCATCGCCGGTGCCTGGCCCGCGCCACAGTTCGCCGCAGGTGACTCGGAAAGTCCCGGGGACCCCGGTTCGACTCCCGGTGCCGAGGAGGCACCCCCAGCAGCACTCCCCTTCTCACTACAGCGGCGACGAGGACGAGTGAGTGAGCGACGGTGACCTCGGCACACCCAGCCAGTCCAGCGGTCGCCCGGCCGGCTCGTCCCCGCGCTGAGAGCTGCCCCGAGCAAAGCTCGAGCCAAACGCACCCGGCACACTGTGGCTTTAAAGAGAACACGTTAATAGCGGGTGACATTCACAGCACATAGAGACAGGCCAACATGAACGTAGACTGTGCCAATATTCATAGCTCTAATCTTAGCCCTTCCACTGGCGTGATCACTGAGATTAACCCAACACTAACCTCGACCCCAACCCAAGTCTCGACTCGAACCCTCGCCTTGGCTTTCACACACACTATAACTCTAGCCCTATCCCTAACCTTCGCATCAACACCATGTACTCGCTGTCTCCCACCACCGCACCCGGTGGCGCAGATATGAGTGTGCAGGTGGTGCCACTGCACCAGGTGCCGGACTGTAAAGGGGGAGTGAGGGGGGTGGAGGGGGGAGGCCCATGTGATGCATTGCATCAGGGCCCGTGGGATGCATTGCGTCAAGGCCCATGCCAACCTATGCCACCGGCCTAACTCCACGCCGTCCCCGCCCCTCCCGGCAGCTTCTCGGCGTCGTCTCTCTCCGACTCGGCGCTGGAGGAGGAGGGCAGTCCCAGCTGTGTTGACAGCGGCCTCTCCACCATGCGGAGGACAGGCGAGGCCCCATGGGGGGCGGCCCGCAGGCCGAGGGGCCAGGCGGCCGCCCTGCACCGCAACGGCTTCCGCGAGTCCGTGAGCTCTGAAGCGTCAGCCGTGGACGTGAGTAGAAGGGGGGGGGGGGCACTGCGGTAGTGGGGGTGCCTGGGGGGCCAGGGGAACTGATGGGGAGAGCGCTGGACTGCCGGAGAGTCTGGAGGTCAGGGGTCGATCCTGGGCGTGGTTTTGCGGCTACTGTTACAGTAGTTTTGATAGGTGATGGATTCATTCCGTGTCGGTCATTGGGGTCCACGACGCCAGTCAGTGTGGGTTGGTGAAGATGATCGCCCGCTACTCACGTTCGCCACAGCCGGGAATCGAACTCGGCCGCTAGGTCCGTTGCTCAGTGGGGGATGCACCGAGCGGACGTCCCGTGACTCCGCACCGATGCGACCCCCCCCCTACCCCCCGATCACCGCTCCCCCGCCCCCGACGGCGCCCCAGATACCGGACATGGAGGACGAGGAGTCTGAGCGCATGCTGCGAGGCGTGCGTGACGCACGCCCGCTCAGCCGCACCCCCTCCAACGCCTCCTCGCGCCGCACCATCCGCGCCTTCGGCAAGGTACGGCACGGGGCCGGCACGGGGCCCGGCATGAGTCCCGGCACGGGGGGGCTACCCCGACCTCTCCGTGGGGAACACGTTATCCTGCTACGTACGGCGCGAAAGAACGTTGAACGTACATTCGTGCATACATCTAGCAGTGCTGCTGCTGACAGAGAAGCGCAGAGGGAGACGCACGTTCACACAGACACGTGCGTGCGCGTCTGTGTCGTGCGCGCAGGACAAGGACGCGCTGAGCGGCAGCGGTGGGTCGGGCCGCGTGGGCCGCGTCTACAAGATCGTGCTGGCCGGAGACGCCTCCGTGGGGAAGTCGAGCTTCCTCATGCGGCTCTGCAAGAACGAATTTGACGGCAACACCTGCTCCACGCTCGGTGCGGCGATGGGTGGGGAGTGGTGGCGGGAGGGGGGGTGTGAGGGGAGGGGGGGAGACCCCCCGAAGTGTGTACAGAGGAACGCAGAGGTGCCCACAGGACGGTGATCGTCGATGAGGAGGAGCTCCCGTGCTGCTGCCGTGGTGGCAGACAACAACACCGACTCAGCGCGTTCGTCAATAACAACACTGGGAAAATAAATAATAGGCGACGTTTTGGGCAATGACCCTCATTCACAGCACCTGCGGAGAGGCGTTTGTGACACCCTGGTGGTGGTGGGGGCGTGGGGTAGTGGTGGGGGAGTGGGGGGGGGGGGCGTGGGGGGTGCGTGTGACACCTTGAGAGTGGTAAGGTGACATCTTTGGGGGTGGGCGAGGGGACACCTGGGGAGCAGGTAGCACCTGCCGTGCTGCTGTGCCACACCTGGGGGGAGGGGAGGTGCCGGGCGAGTGGCTCACGCGGGTGGTGTGCGAGTGGCTCACGCGGGTGGTGTGCGAGTGGCTCACGCGGGTGGTGTGCGAGTGGCTCACGCGGGTGGTGTGCGAGTGGCTCACGCGGGAGGTGTGCGAGTGGCTCACGCGGGTGGTGTGCGAGTGACTCACGCGGGAGGTGTGCGAGTGGCTCACGCGGGTGGTGTGCGAGTGGCTCACGCGGGTGGTGTGCGAGTGGCTCAAGCGGGTGGTGTGCGAGTGGCTCACGCGGGTGGTGTGCGAGTGGCTCACGCGGGTGGTGTGCGAGTGGCTCACGCGGGTGGTGTGCGAGTGGCTCACGCGGGTGGTGTGCGAGTGGCTCACGCGGGTGGTGTGCGAGTGGCTCACGCGGGAGGTGTGCGAGTGGCTCACGCGGGAGGTGTGCGAGTGGCTCACGCGGGAGGTGTGCGAGTGGCTCACGCGGGAGGTGTGCGAGTGGCTCACGCGGGAGGTGTGCGAGTGGCTCACGTGGGAGGTGTGCGAGTGGCTCACGCGGGAGGTGTGCGAGTGGCTCACGCGGGAGGTGTGCGAGTGGCTCACGCGGGAGGTGTGCGAGTGGCTCACGCGGGTGGTGTGCGAGTGGCTCACGCGGGTGGTGTGCGAGTGGCTCACGCGGGTGGTGTGCAAGTGGCTCACGTGGGAGGTGTGCGAGTGGCTCACGCGGGTGGTGTGCGAGTGACTCACGCGGGTGGTGTGCGAGTGGCTCACGCGAGTGGTGTGCGAGTGGCTCACGCGGGTGGTGTGCGAGTGGCTCACGTGGGAGGTGTGCGAGTGGCTCACGTGGGTGGTGTGCGAGTGGCTCACGCGGGTGGTGTGCGAGTGGCTCACGCGGGTGGTGTGCGAGTGGCTCACGCGGGTGGTGTGCGAGTGGCTCACAGCGTGGTGTGCGAGTGGCTCACGTGGGAGGTGTGCGAGTGGCTCACGCGGGTGGTGTGCGAGTGGCTCACGCGGGTGGTGTGCGAGTGGCTCACGCAGGTGGTGTGCGAGTGACTCACGCGGGTGGTGTGCGAGTGGCTCACGTGGGAGGTGTGCGAGTGGCTCACGCGAGTGGTGTGCGAGTGGCTCACGCGGGTGGTGTGCGAGTGGCTCACGCGAGTGGTGTGCGAGTGGCTCACGCGGGTGGTGTGCGAGTGACTCACGCGGGGTGGTGTGCGAGTGGCTCACGCGAGTGGTGTGCGAGTGGCTCACGCGAGTGGTGTGGCGAGTGACTCACGCGGGTGGTGTGCGAGTGGCTCATGCGAGTGGTGTGCGAGTGGCTCACGTGGGAGGTGTGCGAGTGGCTCACGCGGGTGGTGTGCGAGTGGCTCACGCGGGAGGTGGCGAGTGGCTCACGCGGGTGGTGTGCGAGTGGCTCACGCGGGTGGTGTGCGAGTGGCTCACGCGGGTGGTGTGCGAGTGGCTCACGCGGGTGGTGTGCGAGTGGCTCACGCGGGTGGTGTGCGAGTAGCTCACGCGGGTGGTGTGCGAGTGACTCACGCGGGTGGTGTGCGAGTGGCTCACGCGGGTGGTGTGCGAGTGGCTCACGCGGGTGGTGTGCGAGTGACTCACGCGGGTGGTGTGCGAGTGGCTCACGCGGGTGGTGTGCGAGTGGCTCACGCGGGTGGTGTGCGAGTGGCTCACGCGGGTGGTGTGCGAGTGGCTCACGCGGGTGGTGTGCGAGTGACTCACGCGGGTGGTGTGCGAGTGGCTCACGCGGGTGGTGTGCGAGTGGCTCACGCGAGTGGTGTGCGAGTGACTCACGCGGGTGGTGTGCGAGTGGCTCACGCGAGTGGTGTGCGAGTGGCTCACGCGGGAGGTGTGCGAGTGGCTCACGCGGGTGGTGTGCGAGTGGCTCACGCGGGAGGTGTGCGAGTGGCTCACGCGGGTGGTGTGCGAGTGACTCACGCGGGTGGTGTGCGAGTGACTCACGCGGGTGGTGTGCGAGTGGCTCACGCGAGTGGTGTGCGAGTGACTCACGCGGGTGGTGTGCGAGTGGCTCACGCGAGTGGTGTGCGAGTGGCTCACGTGGGAGGTGTGCGAGTGGCTCACGCGGGTGGTGTGCGAGTGGCTCACGCGGGAGGTGTGCGAGTGGCTCACGCGGGTGGTGTGCGAGTGACTCACGCGGGTGGTGTGCGAGTGGCTCACGCGGGTGGTGTGCGAGTGGCTCACGCGGGTGGTGTGCGAGTGGCTCACGCGGGTGGTGTGCGAGTGGCTCACGTGGGTGGTGTGCGAGTGACTCACGCGGGTGGTGTGCGAGTGGCTCACGCGGGTGGTGTGCGAGTGGCTCACGCGGGTGGTGTGCGAGTGGCTCACGTGGGTGGTGTGCGAGTGGCTCACGCGAGTGGTGTGCGAGTGACTCACGTGGGAGGTGTGCGAGTGGCTCACGCGGGTGGTGTGCGAGTGGCTCACGTGGGTGGTGTGCGAGTGGCTCACGCGGGTGGTGTGCGAGTGGCTCACGCGGGTGGTGTGCGAGTGACTCACGCGGGTGGTGTGCGAGTGGCTCACGCGGGTGGTGTGCGAGTGGCTCACGCGGGTGGTGTGCGAGTGGCTCACGTGGGTGGTGTGCGAGTGACTCACGCGGGTGGTGTGCGAGTGGCTCACGCGGGTGGTGTGCGAGTGGCTCACGCGGGTGGTGTGCGAGTGGCTCACGCGGGAGGTGTGCGAGTGGCTCACGCGGGTGGTGTGCGAGTGGCTCATGCGGGTGGTGTGCGAGTGGCTCACGCGGGTGGTGTGCGAGTGACTCACGCGGGTGGTGTGCGAGTGACTCACGCGGGTGGTGTGCGAGTGGCTCACGCGGGTGGTGTGCGAGTGGCTCACGCGGGTGGTGTGCGAGTGACTCACGCGGGTGGTGTGCGAGTGACTCACGCGGGAGGTGTGCGAGTGGCTCACGCGGGAGGTGTGCGAGTGGCTCACGTGGGAGGTGTGCGAGTGACTCACGCGGGTGGTGTGCGAGTGGCTCACGCGGGTGGTGTGCGAGTGGCTCACGCGGGTGGTGTGCGAGTGACTCACGCGGGTGGTGTGCGAGTGGCTCACGCGGGTGGTGTGCGAGTGGCTCACGCGGGTGGTGTGCGAGTGACTCACGCGGGAGGTGTGCGAGTGGCTCACGCGGGAGGTGTGCGAGTGGCTCACGTGGGAGGTGTGCGAGTGACTCACGCGGGTGGTGTGCGAGTGACTCACGCGGGTGGTGTGCGAGTGGCTCACGCGGGAGGTGTGCGAGTGGCTCACGCGGGTGGTGTGCGAGTGACTCACGCGGGTGGTGTGCGAGTGGCTCACGCGGGTGGTGTGCGAGTGGCTCACGCGGGTGGTGTGCGAGTGGCTCACGCGGGTGGTGTGCGAGTGGCTCACGTGGGTGGTGTGCGAGTGACTCACGCGGGTGGTGTGCGAGTGGCTCACGCGGGTGGTGTGCGAGTGGCTCACGCGGGTGGTGTGCGAGTGGCTCACGTGGGAGGTGTGCGAGTGGCTCACGCGGGTGGTGTGCGAGTGGCTCACGCGGGTGGTGTGCGAGTGGCTCACGCGGGTGGTGTGCGAGTGACTCACGCGGGTGGTGTGCGAGTGACTCACGCGGGTGGTGTGCGAGTGGCTCACGCGGGTGGTGTGCGAGTGGCTCACGCGGGTGGTGTGCGAGTGACTCACGCGGGTGGTGTGCGAGTGACTCACGCGGGAGGTGTGCGAGTGGCTCACGCGGGAGGTGTGCGAGTGGCTCACGTGGGAGGTGTGCGAGTGACTCACGCGGGTGGTGTGCGAGTGGCTCACGCGGGTGGTGTGCGAGTGGCTCACGCGGGTGGTGTGCGAGTGACTCACGCGGGTGGTGTGCGAGTGACTCACGCGAGTGGTGTGCCGTGTCGCAGGCGTCGACTTCCAGATGAAGTCTCTGGTCGTGGACGGGGAGGAGACGACGCTGCAGCTGTGGGACACGGCCGGCCAGGAGCGGTACGACCCCATGACCCCCTTCTCCTTCTCCTCGTGACCTCCCTCTCTGTGACCCCCCTGTCCCCATGACCCCCCTCTCCGTGACCCCCCCCCCCTCCCCGTGACCCCCCTCTCCCCGTGACCCCCTTCCGTGACGCCCCCCCCACTCTCCTCCTGACCCCACGTCTTCCCTCCCGGGCTGTGTGGGCTACATGGGGGATCTTTGTCTTTGTTGCGGGCGCCAGGTTCCGCAGCATCGCCAAGTCGTACTTCCGGCGTGCGCACGGCGTGCTGCTGCTCTACGACGTCACCTGCCACGAGAGCTTCAAGAACGTGCGCGAGTGGGTGGACAATGTGCAGGTACTGCGGGTGCAGCAGGGACACGGGTGCAGCAGGGACACGGGTGCAGCAGGGACACGGGTACAGCAGGGACACGGGTGTAGGGACGGGTAAGAATACCTAATGGGGGTGGCGGAAGGCAACAAAGGGGGTCAAGGCTTGGTCGTGGCGATGGGAGCGATGGATACGGCAATAATGACTATGACGATGATAATGACGATGATGACTATGATGACTATGATGACGACGATGACGACGATGATGACGATGATGATGACGATGTCTGTCTCCACCGTGCCCACGCAGGATGCCGTGGAGAGGAGCGTGCCCATCATGATCGTGGGCAACAAGACGGACCTGAGGCCGAACGACGGGGCCCCTAACCGCACCTACGTCTCCACGAACCAGGGGGAGATGCTCGCCATGGTGAGTCTCGAGGGGATCGGGCGGAGGAGGGGGGCGGGGAGTGGCTGGCCGTGACGAATTCCGGACCGTCGTACGCACGTGCGTGACCCCACGACCCCGTCACGTGCGTGTGTATGTGTAGCCTGTGGGGAGCGGTAGTGTAGCCGTTGGCGCACTGCGCTATGAACCCGGCGACCAGAGTTCAATCCTGCTCACTGCCAACACCAGTGACGAATATCTCAACCGGTCCGGGGCCCCCTCTCAGTCAACTCAGCCGCAAATGAGTACCTGGTGCGTTGTGTAAACATCGGTACTAGGGAGACAAAGGCGGCCGGGCGGGGTGCTGACCACCCACCCCCTCGTGTGCCATGGCGGGGGATCATAGTCCATGTCTTTGTGTGTGGGGAGCGGCAGTGCAACTGGTCGACGCGCTGCGCTACAAACCTGCGCTCGCTTCACACTCACGACCAATCACAGTGGCATATAGTTGAACCCATCCCGGGCCTCCCTCTAGGTCGACTCAGCATTAAATGAGAGTACTCGTGTGGCGTGTAACCGTCAGCACTGGCGAGATGAAGGCGGCTGGACGTGGCGATGGCCACCCACCCACTTGTGTGCCGTGCCGGCCTTCGTAGGTGGTGCTTAACAGCATTTTCCATAACAGCCCGTGTGAGCTATATGGGGGATCTTTGTCTTTGCAGTCGTACAGATCGTTGTTTTGCGAGACGAGTGCCAAGGACGGCGACAACGTGGTGGAGGCCGTGCTCCACCTGGCCAGGTGAGCTCCCCATCATCATCATCAACAGCATTATCATCAGCAGCAGAAGGAAAATCACCATCACACACACTATGCAAATGTAAGCACATCTGTGCACACAAATATACACATGTATATATTTGCATGCACGCAAATACACTTACGCACGCACATACACCCAAGCTCCCACGAGGACACACTCACGCAGAGTACAAACCTAAATGTGTCTTCCTGTGCCCCCCCCCGCCCTTCCCACCGTGTCCCCCGTGTCTCAGGGACGTGCGTCGGTTTGCGGGCAAAGACCCGGACCAGAGTGTGACTGACTTGACGCAGCAGGGAAACAAGGAGAAGTCCAAGTGCTGTGATTTCTAGCCGCTCTCACCTCCGCTCGCCTCCGTTCACCTCCGCTCGCTTCTGCTCACCTCCAGCTCACGTGGGATGGAGAGCAAGCCGCCTGGCTGCGATTCACCAACCCACGGAGACTCAGCACCAGCAACAACAACATCAGCATCATCAGTATCATCATCAGTATGATCATCCTGAATCATCATCTGGCCACGTGCCACTCTGGACGTAGCAGCTCGACTCGCGATCGAGACCTGGCGGGGTTCCACCCAAGCCCATCATCATCATCATCATTGACCCCGCGGGGGTCAGTAAAATGAGTATAGAGTCACTTCCTCATAAGTGAACAACGGTGGATGCTCTTTGAATGTATCGGTTCCTAAAATAAGAATGTGGAATGTCCACACACCCAACCGGCTTGGGTCCGCCAATCGCGATGTGCACCGTCTTCTCTCCGCTCGTTCTGGGCGAGAGGGCGGCACCGTCTTAACATTTAATTCTTCCTCTTGTTGTTGGTATTATTGTTGTGTTCCGTTTTAGATCGAGATGCAAGCGGCACTTGATTCAGCACGTGGGTTCTAGTTGGTATGTACTGTACATGGACTCTCTAAGTGGCACGGTGACCGCTCTGTGTGTGTGCGTGCGTGGACCACAAAACCACCACGAGCTGGGTCTGTCCGGGTCCGTTACCCGGATTGATATTCCCGTGCCCCGGCACACCACATCCAGGAGAATACTTCTCGCTCTGCTTGTGGCTACCACGAGCCACGCGCCGTCGACTCGACGCAGTCGTCCACTGGCGATCCAGAGAAGACGCGTCGTGGGAAACGAAGCCCAGCCTGTTGTGTGTGTTGCATTGTGGGTATTGTGGAATGCACCGCGTCACTCTGCACGGACCGCAGTGAAAGCGCACGGAGCTGCGAGTTTCGCCAAATCGATCAAATCGATCTTAGAGGTCCCCCGTCCACCCCTCCCCCACGCCCCACCACCCCACCCTATCCCCCTCCTCCATCCCGGGTCGTTAGCTGGTAGGGATGTAACGATTAATCACTTTATAACCGAAATTAGATTAATATGCTAACGGTAGCGTATGAATCGGTTATAATCGATTAATGTTGTGATTCACGAAAACCATTTGCGTACCGCTATGGATTCCATACGCGGTGCTGCACGGGCAAAAACAATAATCGATTCATTAATCGAATCGTGAACGTGAAATGATTACCAAGCGTCACATCCCTGCGGCTCGTCTCTCAGCTTGAGCACTTTAATGAGCAATGAGTCAACGAGTCAAACGGGAATTCCCGTGAGGTCATCTGGGGCTCACTGCAGCTGCACCGACGCGCGCCGTTCGCCCTGCAGCGGGACCGGTGTCTGCTCTCGACCAATGGGCTCGCTTCCCTGCGCAGAGCCCTAACCCTAATCCCTAACTCAGGGTATTGTTCCACTGTACAATCTTTGCGTTTTGTTTTACACGCCGCGGTTTGCTGGAGCCTGTGGATAGAGAGAGACGCCTCGTGGTGCCATTGATCATTCGCCGGTTTGTTGTGCACGCGAATGAAGCGGTCTGCCGTCGTGGCGCGATGGTGAGCCCACTGGACTCGCAATCCACAGGTCGCCCGCTCCGTCTCCCTTGCGCGGCGGTGCGGTGGGGTGAAGTGTGGGCACTGGCACCGCTATCCAAGGCGGTCTCGCCAGCGTGGAGGAGCAGGGCCATAGCACGACCGCTTCCTCGAGTGGGGGGCCATGCACCAGCGGTGGCGCGAGCGATGCGTCAGGTGCAGGGCCGGCTGTGCCCCCTTTACCTTCATACGAATACGATGAACAGTAGCACAAGACCCCGCCCCCCCGAAACGACTGGTAATTGGACAGCCGTCACCACCCCGTCACTCGGTGATCCGCCAACCCCACGTGGCTGTAGATATTTGTTTGATTTGCCTCCCCCACGTTGGAGACGGCGGAGTTGCTGCTGGTAGCCCGGCCGTGACGACTCCGCGGGGACACGGGCACGAGGTTTTAAACAAAGTGAGACGCTCTTCCGTCGTGCTCATTTGTTTTTAAACAATGACACTTGTTTACAGATGCGTTCACGTGAACTTTGTATAGTCTAGCGGCAGAGGGGGGGGGGGGTGTATTGTTATTTTTAAAAACGAATACCACTTTATTGAACGTCATGACGGCCAGTGGTTTAACTTTGGTTAGACTGGGCCCTGTCATGCGAATGTGTAATTTCCACCACCGCTGGGCCGACTTCGCCTTGTGCAATATGAGCGGCTCGTGTGCGTGTTGGGAACAGAGATTCGCGTGGTGTTTGCAAGAGTCTCTCTCTCAACTTTTGTCCGAGTTTTGATCAAATCGCGCCCCATGTCTCACCATCAGACGCGGGATCAATTGTAAATATCAATTACAGCAGCAGCGGCATTTTATATTCAAAGTTGAAATTCGCGAAGAAATTACACGATTGGAATTGACCACCAGGTCTGCCCATCAGCACCGCCATCAACTACAAGGAAGCGGAAATTCGGCCCAGGTGATGGTGATGGTGGTGATGATGGTGGTTATTAGGTTTGGCTATTGAAGATCAAACTGAGTCTAAGATTTGTAACGCGCTGTATTCAGAAAAAAATATAGAATTAATCCAATTAAACTTAAACAGGATACAAAAAATTAATCCGTTCTTTAAAAAACCGATTGCGATGTCACTGCTGACCGGACTCCAGTTGACAGAGACTGTTCCAGGCCACGGGGCTGGAGATGGGCCCTCCCTTCTACTGAAGGTGACCACTTCGCCTTTAAATGAATCAGGATCTCGCAGTCGATGAAGTGATCATCGAACTCCAGTCCTTGCCATCTCACCCCACGGTGCAGCGATTCGTGCTTTACCGAGCATCCGGCGCGTGCAGTATGCGTAGTGCGACTTAGCTGGCCAATGAATGATGTCGTTGAGTGGTGGTGTGGTAGGGCGCGCCGCGGTGGGGGTGGGGGGAGAAGTCGCTAGCCACTCGAGTTTGAGTAACTCTGCGCAGGACTTAATGATATTTTAAGGAACGATGTTAACGATCTCTTAATTAAGGATATCTTAACAAACTCTTAATTAGTGATCTCGTAATGAGATGCGTGGGAGGGTGGCCTGTCCCCTCCGTATTGCCGCGCGGGGTCAAAACGAGGTCAATTGTATTTTCTTGCACAGTTTTATCTTTGAGGAAGGCTACTGCGATGGTTAAATAATAAATAAAGTTTACGGTCTCTTGTAACATCATCTACGTGTCGTTATCATCAACATCAGTGTCAATCATCGTCACCCATCACTTTGTTTAGCTCATGTACATTAGGCGGTACAGCAAATAGGTTTATTACGCAATTACTCATCTGTGTGGCCCATTGAGTGATGTCGCCTCGCATCTTGATGCGCGGTGCTGGGAGTTCTCTGAGGAGCCAAACTCCCACTCCCAATGAATCAGCTGTGAACAAACATCTCAACGTTGCAGCGCCTCCTGCGAAATGGCCTTGTGACTCTGATGCTTCCCTAGATCGATAACGGGCGACGATAATTGTTTTAAGAATGCGGGAGAAAGTGGCGCGGTGGGTCTCGCATTGCTGCTATGAGCTCGGCCACATGAGTTCGACTCCCGGCCACGGGGGTTGGTTATGTGACCGTAGTGGAGAGTGAGCTGTGACTCGTGACGCTACCCCCTCCACGAAGCCACACTGACCAGCGCGCTGAAGAATGCTCAAACAATCCCTCTGACGGCACGCAGAGGCCTTCATCCAGCAGTGGATGAACAAAGCGCGTGACGCAAATATTATTTCACGTGATGAAATTAAGTTTAAATACATCTCGGTAAACAGGGAATAAATTTGAATAACTCGTTATTAAATTGATTACATTAAATGGCCTAATCAAGCGGGGACTTGATACCTTGATTATTATTATGATGATGATGAGATTTCAGTGCTCCTAGCGCATGTTGTGAAATAAAAGCCGAAGCAATTAAGAAATTAAATTCGCAATTAAGCGACGAGAGTGTTGGTTTACTCGTGAAAACGATTCGACATTGCGCAGACGAATTGCTTAATTATGCTATACCAACGGGCCCCTCTTAATGACATTAATTGATCGATCTCCTGCTCCAGTCCCTGATGGGATTGTCTCTGTCCCAGGCCGAGTTGAACGGCACAGTCACCACGGTGGGAGAGTCAACGTTTGGCGACATCCTATTTTACCAGCCACGCGGTATTTGCACGTGTTCTGGATGTTGAACGGATCATCGGTGGTTATTTGTAATGATATCGTCCACATAATAATATAATCACATTTTATATAATTATCATGAATCTAGAATTAGTGTCAACAAATCATCACTATCATCATAGTAATTCTATTTCATCATCATCAATTCAACATTTTTATTGTCACCACCATCAATCGCAATTCCTGGGTCACTAAAATGAGTACAATAACTTGAGGGTAAACTATTTGGACTTGGTGCAGAGGAACGAGCAGCAGCTGTTTCTCGTTGTTCCTCTAATGCAGATACACTAGTCCTCGTCAGAGGAACGTAGAATTCCCACCACATGCAATACGGGCTGCCAAGGCAGCACAAAGACCGCAATCGCCCCCTGCAGTGGAAGCGGGGAACACCAGAGTCTCGACTGCCCTCTCATAATGATGATTAAGAAGGCGGTCTCAGTCTCCGTGCCTCGCGGCCCGCCACGCTACGCCTGCACGCGCTCGCCGATCGTCTGCGCTCAGATTACGTCGTCGCACGCTACACGCGCCTGATGATTGGGGCGATCGGGTCACGCGTTATCTCGTAACCTTGGTGAGCTCGAATTTCAATTGAAGATATAGAATATTAATTTAGATCGAGACGATCTTAATTTGAATCGGCGCTCTTGGCTTCGCGTGGGAAGCTGCCCTGGAGAAGTGGCCTTCGTGGGAGTCCAGGAGTGGCGGTGCGCGACCAACACGCGCTGGCTTTGTGTTCCAATTCTCATTATCAGTTCGTGCGAGCGACTCGTAGCGAGAGCCGCAGAGTCGCGGCGTCCAGACTCACAGACTCGCCCACGGGCTCGCGCAGAGACCCGTGGGACTCGCGCCTCCTAGAACAACACCGAGTCACAGACAGAGTCCGGGTGGGTGCCTGAGAATCTCGGATCCGGGGTCGGTTAGTACCGGGAGCTTTCAGCGGAGCTGAATCGGAAGGTCCCTCCGCGTCTCCAGCAGAGGGCGGCCAAGTCGCGCCCGTGGCAGTTTCAGCCAAAATCACAAATCCTGACAAATCCTCCAGGGGTGGAGCAGCGGTCGTGACCTTGTTTTTTTAGAATCAGAGCAGAATATTTTATTTATACCGCTACTGGAGGAATCCGATGAGCCATGAAGCTCTTTTTTCGCAGATGTAGTTAACTCAGAGGGGGGGGCATACACTCAGGGGTCATTGACGCGGTTAATGTTAAACAGGCTTTAAACAAACGCTAAACAGAATGAGCAGATTCTGCTTTTGTTAACATAAATTCTGCTCAAGAGCTCACCCCCCCCCCCCCCCCCCGCGTATATGAGGAACAGTTTAAGAAAATCCGTCACTGGCGTTCGAAATTGTACCAACATTTCTCAAGGCGGGATTGAGTCTTCAGCAGTGGGGTGGGGGGGGGGGGGTTCTGCGCCCTCCCTTCCCCCAGCCCAGCCCCCCACAGAGCGCTCAACGTAGAGTGTACCATCTCAATTCTCGGTCTCGACTTGGCTTGGATTGAAAATACGGATTCATTCGCATCCTAATCAACTGTTGCGATCAGGTGATGTGAGCAAGCACCAATTATGACGGGCACGGCACACGGCGGGGTGGATGACCACCGCACCACGTCCGGCCGCCTTTGTCTCCCCAGTGCTAATGTTTACACATCGCACCAATTACTCATTTGAGGCTGAGTCGACATAGGGGAGGCCCAGGACTGGTTCAGATATTCGTCACTTCTGTTGCCAGTGAGCGGGAATCTAACTCGAGTCCCCGCGTTCGTAGCGCAGTGCGCTAACCACTCCACTACCGATCACCACGATAGAAAACCGACACACACACGCACAGGCACTCACACACACGCACAGGCACTAACACACACAGCAGCTCATACATCAACACAATCGCACGCGCTCGCACGGGTCGCGAGGACCGTACAAGCCGACGAGCAGGCACACAATAAAACAAAAAGCAGAAACGAGCCATTGTTTATTGACGCTGCAGGAAGGCGGCCAAAGTCAACGCGGAGCGGAGGGAGAGAGCGCGGGGGAGAGTGGGAAGAGAAGGGGGAGAGCGCTGTGAGAGAGAGAGAGGTGGGGTGGGGGGAGAGTGGAGACGGAGTACAGAGGAGAGAGGGGACTGAAAGTGGAGAGGGGAAAGAACGGGGAGATGGAGTGCGAGGACGGGGGGGGGGGGGGGTCGGCTCGAGCCGCGCATCCTGCCCGGGGTCGCGGGGTCTTCCTGCGAGGATGGAGAGGGTGGATCCCGCGCCCGGCTCGACAATGACCAGCGAGGGAGGGAGGGAGATTCTCCGCTCCAAGCCGCGTTCCCCCCAATGCCCCCGGACCACACTCACGGTCACGTGCCCGGAGAAGCTGCCTGGCCTTATCGCTCCAAGAAACTCCGCGCCTTCTCGGGCGCAGTTCTTGCCCTCTCATAGCTCTGCTCGCGAAACGTCGACTCCCTTGAGAGAAACGTCTGCGCCGGTTTGAAACGTTCATGCTGGCCGGCCTACGATCCATCCTGAGTTTAGACAGACGGGATTGTGTGACGAGTTCACAGATCCATAAAACATCTGGACACGGTCCCATAAGTGAGCTCTTCGGACAGGCGAGGCTGCGTTGCCTGGGTCACGTAGCCCGCATGTCCAGCCACCGCATGCCCAAGCAGCTTTTGTTTGTCCGGATAGAGAGGGCTGAACGGGTGCGGCACGGGCGAGGGTCTAGATGGGCTGATGCGGTACAGGAGGATGTGGAGCTGATTGGACTTGTGTGATCGGGCGAGTGTGTGCGTGAGAGTGTGTGGGTGGGAGAGTGAGCCGCACGGGCTAGATAAGAGATGGGCTGATGGGGTACGGGAGGATATGGAACTGAGTGGACGTACCATGTCCAGACCGGCCTCTATGGAGGAGGCTCGTGAAGGACGCTACTGGACTGGGCAATTGGAGGCAGTCGCCTTCCAACAAGAGCGGATAGCGGAGGGGCGACGCTCACAACAATGAGCAGAGCGCCGGGCAACTAAAACGCAGCAATTTTGCAGAGTGAAGAGCATAGATTATATATCTGCCAGTTATCTCAGTTAACCCATGATGCTGAAATCCTTCCTGTGACTTCCTGCCATGTACTCAGCTTTCCCTACGAGGACTCAGCCTAACATTAGTCAATGGTGCGGTGTGTAAACATCGCAACTCGGGAGTCATAGTCGGGCGTGGTGCTGGCCACCCGCTCCCTCGTGTGCTTTGTCGGCCTTCATAGGTGCTCGCTAACAGCATTTGCCCTAAAAGCCTGTAAAGGCGACACGGGGGAAATTTGTATTGTGTGTGTGTGCACTCCAAATCGAGTGACTCGGGTCTGCCATTGTGTTGAGGTCGCGTGTCCGTTCCTCCCCTTCCCCCCGCCCCCACCGCCATCCCTCTCCTCAATCCCATGACCCCCCCCCCCCGTTCGCGGACAAAGGAGGCACGAGGGGGGAGGGGCTCCCACGATCCATTCCCCCCCAAACCCCAAACCCCTCGCTCCCCCACGACCCAGGCTTACCGAGGGGAGGCGCTCTCTGCTCACACTCCACCCTCACTCCCTCACACTCCACCCTCTACATCCACCCTCACACTCGACCTCCTCACACTCCACCCCCTCACACTCCACCCCCACACTCCACCCTCACTCCCTCACACTCCACCCCCTCAAACTACACCCTCACACTCCACCCTCACACTCCAACCCCTCCCACTCAACCCTTCACTCCCTCACACTCCACCCCTCACACTCCACCCTCACACTCCATCCACCCTCACACTCCACCCTCACCCCTCACACTCCACCCCCTCACACTCCACCCTCACCCCCTCACACTCCACCCCAGCCCCCTCACACTCCACCCCCTCACACTCCATCCTCACACTCCACCCTCACCCCCTCACACTCCACCCCCTCACACTCCACTCTCACACTCCACCCTCACACTCCACCCCCTCAAACTCCACCCTTACACTCCACCCTCACACTCCACCCCAACCCCCTTACACTCCACCCTCCACATCCACCCTCACACTCCACTCTCTACATCCACCCTCACACTCCACCCTCACACTCCACCCCAACCCCCTTACACTCCACCCTCCACATCCACCCTCACACTCCACTCTCTACATCCACCCTCACACTCCACCCTCACACTCCACCCCAACCCCCTTACACTCCACCCTCCACATCCACCCTCACACTCCACTCTCTACATCCACCCTCACACTCCACCCTCACCCCCTCACACTCCACCCTCACCCCCTCACACTCCACCCTCCACATCCACCCTGTCCTCCCCCAAGCCCCACTGCGACCCCAAGCCCCTCCCCCCCAGCCCCACCCCAGACCGATTCCCCAGTCGCACCCCCCGCGTATCGCCCTCCCTCCCCCCCGCCCCCCCCTCTCGCCCTCTCCTCTCGAGGAGACGTCGCGGCTCCTCTCGGTGTCTGCGCTGTGCGAGAGTCTCTGCGGGTCACCTCCACCCACAGCTCGCCTCCATGCAGCGACGCAGTGGGCGTGTGCACACTCTCAGCGTCACCACCACCACCAACAACAATCACCACCACCATCATCATCACTAACACCACCAACACCAACAACAATCACCACCATCATCATCATCACTAACACCACCACCATCATCATCATCACTAACACCACCACCACTAACACCACCACCAACAACAACAGCTGCTGCCGCCTCGTGTCGCCGCCGCACGCGGTCCCATCGCTGCCACCGATACAGCCACAATCGTCCACTCGTCTCACCTCCCTCTTCTCCGTCCCCTCCTCTCCCCACGACTCCCCCCTCTGCCTCTCCCCTCTGCCTCTCCCCTCTGCCTCTCTTCTCTGCTCTCCCCTCCTCCCAACAAATAAAACCAACTTAAGTGGCCACGGGGCCGGCGTGCGCGCACACGCGCGAGCACGCGCCTCCTCCCTCCCCTCCTCCCTCCTCCTCCCTCCCCTCCTCCCCCGCCTCCCCATCCCCGTCTCATCGCCCCGAGCCGCGCCGCCTCGCTAATTGGAGCGAGCCGGCGCTGGGGGAGGTGGCACGCGCGCATCGCCTCGCCGCCGTCAACATTCGCCTCGCTCCCTCCTCAGCGCAGCCGCCGCAGCCGCTCAAGTTAGTCTCTGATCTCTGGTTCTGTTCTCATCTCAAGTTTGTCTCTGATCTCTGGTTCTGTTCACATCTCAAGTTTGTCTCTGATCTCTGGTTCTGTTCACATCTAAAGTCGGTCTCTGATCTCTGGTTCCATCTCCATCTTAAGTTGGTCTCTGTTCCCTGGTTCCATTCTCATCTCAAGTTGGTCTCTGTTCCCTGATTCCATTCCATCTCAACTCGGTCTCTGTTCTCTGGTTCCATCCCCATCTCAAGCAGGTCTAAGCCCTCTGGTTCTGTTCCGATTTCACCGCGCGCACGCAGGCGCGGGATCTCGCGTTCGAAGAAGACAACATCCCCCCGGCACTCAGCCCACAGGGGCCCGAGGAGGGAGACAGAGCAAGGGGAGGAGGGAGAGACGGAGCCGACCGGACAACCCAAGCGCTCCACCCGACTGACCCCGAGCCGGTGCCGGTCTGGCCAGGGTCACCACACCCCGGGGCGGCGGTGCGCCCGGGCGCCGCGGCTTCGTCCAGCAGCAGGGCTCCTCCACATCGTCGTCGCCGTCGGCGGCAGCAGCAGCAGCAGCACCGCTGGCATGGCCAAATGGCTGAAGGAGCACTTGGGGCTGGGCGCAAAGCGCGCCCCGCCACAGCCCCCCAAGCCCGACTACCGGCGCAAGACCTCGGCCGGTCCGGCGGTGGAGGTGGCCCTCCCCGGGCCGGCCCTCACCGGTGACCTCCTCCTGTCGGCCTACCGCGCGCAGAAGGACAAGGACTTCGAGGACCCCTACAGCGGACCTTGCTCCAGCGCCCTGCAGCGCATCAAGATGCAGGGCGAGCAGCAGCAGCAGCAGGAGGCGACTGACGCGGAGCAGCAGATGGGGACTGCTTCACAGCAGCAGCAGCATTTGCAGCAGCAGCAGCAGTCGCCGGCGGTCACTGCTGCTGGTGGTGGCGGTGGTGGCGGCCAGCAGCAAGCGGACGTGAAGTTCTTGTCGCAGAAACATCGTCTCATCAAGGTGGAGAGCGCTGCTGCTGCTAACGCCGCTGCTGCGGCTGCTGCAGCTGCTGCTGCTGCAGCTGCTGCTGCTTCTGCTGCTTCTGGCTCCGCGGGAGCCGCGGGGCCGCCAGGGAAGGCGCTGCGGAACGGGACGCGGGGGGGCAGCGGCGGGCAGGGGGGCAGCGGTGGGCAGGGGGGCAGCGGCGGGGACGATGGCGCGGCCAAGGGGAAGGACGACAAGGTGAGGACGGGACGACTCCCACCACAACTAGTACTACAACTAGTATAACTAGTACTACAACTAGTACTACAACTAGTATAACTAGTACTACAACTAGTATAACTAGTACTACAACTAGTACTACAACTAGTATAACTAGTACTACAACTAGTATAACTAGTACTACAACTAGTACTACAACTAGTATAACTAGTACTACAACTAGTATAACTAGTACTACAACTAGTACTACAACTAGTACTACAACTAGTATAACTAGTACTACAACTAGTACTACAACTAGTACTACAACTAGTACAACTAGTACTACAACTAGTACTACAACTAGTATAACTAGTACTACAACTAGTATAACTAGTACTACAACTAGTACTACAACTAGTATAACTAGTACTACAACTAGTATAACTAGTACTACAACTAGTACTACAACTAGTATAACTAGTACTACAACTAGTACAACTAGTACTACAACTAGTACTACAACTAGTATAACTAGTACTACAACTAGTACAACTAGTACTACAACTAGCACTACAACTAGTATAACTAGCACTACAACTAGTACTACAACTAGCACTACAATTAGTATAACTAGTACTACAACTAGTACTACAACTAGTACTACAACTAGTATAACTAGTACTACAACTAGTACTACAACTAGCACTACAACTAGTACTACAACTAGCACTACAATTAGTATAACTAGTACTACAACTAGTACTACAACTAGTATAACTAGTACTACAACTAGCACTACAACTAGTACTACAACTAGTACTACAACTAGCACTACAACTAGTACTACAACTAGCACTACAACTAGTATAACTAGTACTACAACTAGTACTACAACTAGCACTACAACTAGCACTACAACTAGTATAACTAGTACTACAACTAGTACTACAACTAGTATAACTAGTACTACAACTAGTATAACTAGTACTACAACTAGTACTACAACTAGTATAACTAGTACTACAACTAGTACAACTAGTACTACAACTAGTACTACAACTAGTATAACTAGTACTACAACTAGTACAACTAGTACTACAACTAGCACTACAACTAGTATAACTAGCACTACAACTAGTACTACAACTAGCACTACAATTAGTATAACTAGTACTACAACTAGTACTACAACTAGTACTACAACTAGTATAACTAGTACTACAACTAGTACTACAACTAGCACTACAACTAGTACTACAACTAGCACTACAATTAGTATAACTAGTACTACAACTAGTACTACAACTAGTATAACTAGTACTACAACTAGCACTACAACTAGTACTACAACTAGTACTACAACTAGCACTACAACTAGTACTACAACTAGCACTACAACTAGTATAACTAGTACTACAACTAGTACTACAACTAGCACTACAACTAGCACTACAACTAGTATAACTAGTACTACAACTAGCACAACTAGTACTACAACTAGTACTACAACTAGTACTACAACTAGCACAACTAGTACTACAACTAGTACTACTAGTACTACAACTAGTACTACAACTAGTACTACTAGTACTACAACTAGTACTACAACTAGTACTACAACTAGTACTACAACTAGTACTACTAGTACTACAACTAGTACTACAACTAGCACTACAACTAGTATAACTAGTACTACAACTAGTACTACAACTAGCACTACAACTAGCACTACAACTAGTATAACTAGTACTACAACTAGTACTACAACTAGCACAACTAGTACTACAACTAGTACTACTAGTACTACAATTAGTACTACAACTAGTACTACTAGTACTACAACTAGCACTACAACTAGTACTACAACTAGTACTACAACTAGCACTACAACTAGTACTACAACTAGTACTACAACTAGCACTACAACTAGTACTACAACTAGCACTACAACTAGTACTACAACTAGTACTACAACTAGCACTACAACTAGTACTACAACTAGTACTACAACTAGCACTACAACTAGTACTACAACTAGCACAACTAGTACTACAACTAGTACTACTACTAGCACTACAACTAGTATAACTAGTACTACAACTAGTACTACTACTAGCACTACAACTAGTATAACTAGTACTACAACTAGTATTTTCACCACCACCACCACATCTGCATGTGAACCTAGTCTAGGCCTCCCCTAGGTTCACTCGGCATAAACTATCACGGTATAACAGCTTGGTGTGCTCAGCACGTGGGTTTAGACGCGTGTGTGTGGAATCTCGCTTGATCTCACGTCTCTGTTCCATCGCCTCTGATGGGCGTGTGTGTCTGTGTGCTGTGGGGCACGCTGGCTCCGAACCACACGAGGGATAGGTTCGGCCCCGGTTCACGCCTTGTTCAAAGTTCCCGTCCGTCCGTCTGACTCTTGCCGAAAACTTTCTCCATCGCCGCTCCCCACGGCTGCGAGACGGCGTCTCGCTGAGTCTGGACGAGTCGGCTCCGTCCGGCCTCCAGCCACCACGTGATCCCGGCCCCAACTGCGTGTGTGTGTGTACACGTGTGTGTGTGTGTACACGTGTGTGTGTGTGTGTGTACACGTGTGTGTGTACACGTGTGTGTGTACACGTGTGTGTGTGTACACGTGTGTGTGTGTGTGTACACGTGTGTGTGTACACGTGTGTGTGTGTGTGTACACGTGTGTGTGTGTACACGTGTGTGTGTGTGTACACGTGTGTGTATTTGGGGAGCGGTAGTGTAGCGGTTAGCACGCTGCGCTATGAACCTGGCGACCCGGGTTCGATTCCCGCTCACGGCCAACACCAGTGACGATTATCTGAACCGGTCCCGGGCCTCCCCTAGGTTGACTCAGTCTCAAATGAGTACCTGGTGCGATGTGTAAATACCGTCACTAGGGAGACAAAGACGGCCGGGCGTGGTGTTGGCCACCCACCCCCTCGTGTGCCGTACCGGCCTTCATAGGTGCTCGCTAACAGCACTTGCCCCAACAGTCTGTTAAGGCTAAATGGGGGATCTTTGTGCGTACACGTCTGTGTGTGTACACGTGTGTGTGTGTGTGTACACGTGTGTGTGTGTGTACATGTGTGTGTGTGTACATGTGTGTGTGTATTTTGTAGCGGTCAGCGCGCTGCACTACGAACCCCGGCGACACGAGTTCGATCCCGCACACGGTCGACACCAGCGACTATTATCTGAACCGGTCCTGGGACTCCTCTAGGTTGACTCAGCCTCAAATGAGTACCTTGTGCGGTGTGTAAATATCGCCACTGGGGAGACAAAGGCGGTCGGGTGTGGTGCTGACAAAGCGCCCCCTCGCGTGCCTTGCCGACCTTCATAGGTGCTCGCTAACAGCACTTGCCCCAACAGTCAGTTAAGACTATACGGGGGAATCTTTGTCTTTTTTTTATACACGCGCGTGTGTGTGTACACGTGCGTGTGTGTACACGTGCGTGTGTGTGTTTATATCGCCTGGGCTCTTTGCTCGCGGGGTAAAAAGAAAGCGGCCGGGCGGAAATGGGGGCAATGCCCCCCCCCCTCCACACGTGTGTTGGGGCCTCCACCCGTCTCTGTGTCGAACTCATGTCACGTGCTTGGGTGCTGCTGCTGTGCTGGCAGTGATGCACAAACAATAAGAACGCCACGCACTCCTTACCAACACTGGCCTCAAGGGGACAAATCTATAATAGGCGACGTTTCGGACAATGGTCCTTCTTCATGGCGCATCAGTGACCCTTCTTCTACACGTTGTATGCGCATTTCCCGCACTTTAGGCTACGTACGGTGCAAACAAAGTTCAACAAACATATATTTGTCATGTTAAGGCCACAGTGTTATTAACGAATATTTGTACACTGTATATGAGAAGACAAGCATGGAACCGCTGTTTTGCCGTTGAAGCGCGCTTCAAATTAATCATTTTTTACAATTTACCATTTTGATTATACCAGGTAAGGCCCACCGAGCCTTCACGGCTCTTTTTCAGAAGCCAGCCGGCCACAAACGATCGCTCGGCGAAAAGTGGCTCAGTTATATCACGTTGGACATTCATAGCGGCCAACCACGAATTGGGGCCGTCGCCTCTCGCGCACGAAGAGGAGGAGGAGGTGGTGGAGGTGGTGGAGGTGGGGAGATTTCGCCGTGGCGAGCGAGGTTGGTTGGGACAGCGCGAATCTAGCCGGGTCTGTAGCCGCGTTGCATTGGTTGCGCTCCGCGAGTGGAGAGGGCGGACATCACGGCGTTGCCTATTCGTGAAGACCGCGGGTCGTTGTTTGTTTGTTTGTGGCGTTGCTTTAATTTTGTAATTGTCCGTGGCCGTCGTCTTACACGCGCGCGCGGGGAACGCGCACGTACCTTCATGTGTGTACGTGCGTGCGTGATGTGCTCCTGTGTCTACAAAGACCTCCCCCCCCCTCCTCCACGAAGCCCGTAGCGGACTGTTGGGGCGAGCGTGGCGAGCGAGCGCATTATTGGTTGACCAGGAGCTCGCCCGCAAGCCATTTCCTCCCCAGTGTTGAATTCTACACACCGCATCAGGAACTCATTTGAGGCTGTACCGACCTAAGGGACATGCCCAGGACAAGGTTCAGTCATGCGTTTATATACACATACAAAGATCCCTCGTATATCCTTGTGTGTACACACACACGCATACCTTGTGTGTACACACACACATACCCACAAGCGAAACTGCGTCTTGAGACTCGCAATGCTTTCCAGGTTAAACAACATGAGTACTCACTCTGTGGGGAAGTCAGCATAGGTTGTCCTATGGAGAGGCTCGCCCCCCGCCATAGGAACGTGGAATTTCCACCACTGGCTCAGGGCTGTAAACGCGTGGTGAGCACCGCCTCGTTGCTCATCGAAACATCGAACTCGCTCTGAGTGAGCAGCATCACTGCCACGGTGAGCCAAAGTGTCTCCTTACTCAAATGGGCGACCTTGAGACAATGGCGATATTCCACATTCCCGTGGCCGGGAGCCAGTCTGTCCATAAGACGACCTTTGCACGCTGACTT